TATAACATACATTTTATAGTGTAATTTTATTGTTATAGTTTTTAAAAGACAGACTGAACAAATGCAACTCGAGACATGGGTTAGATGGATTTCATCTATTTACTGTATTTAAATTTGTTCTCAATTCTTTGTCGTCATACACATGATACAAAAGAACGTATCTAATCCTCTTACGATTAATGCCACAAGTAAATTTTGCTTAAAATTGAAGTTTTAGCGATGTTTTCTACCCATTCTTATGATGAAACGCCATACTGTTTATAGTTTCTATGCCTCCCGGTGAGGGCACTGCGAAAATCGGAAGATGATTTTCCATTCGGAACTCTAATTTTTGAAACGTCATGAAAAATCTAGAGTGCTCCGAAAGAGTCAGCGGTCCCTTAGCCTGGTCCCCTGTCTCATCCTTGCCAAGGCAGCGTAGTAATTGAAGCAAAACAGGGACAGGGAACCAGGCTAGCGGTCCCTCTATTATACGTCTCTGCATTTAGTTAACATCAAAATCCCTATCATTACTGCGTTTGAAATTATGGCGTCAATATAGCTACATATCGATGACACAGAATAAACATAAACTGGTTCCCACCATATGTCACACCAATCTCTCACCAGAGGGCGTTTTACGCTCATCGTTGTAAGCGGAGCGCGCCCTCTGGTGAGAGATTGATGTCACACAACATCGAAATGTCGAAGAGGAAACGATTTTTTTCTACCGGTACCCGTCACTAAGCGAGGTAAAGTAACAGTATTTTATGTATATTTTTTTCTAGACATAATTAAGTCTATATTTTTCCCCCATAATTTAACATTTAACTCCGTGATTCGACATTCTTTCAAGGCACATGTATAGTGATATACCAGAATTTCCTCTGACATAACTTGAAACTTCTTGTGATTTTTATTACGTTCTAAAAGGAAAGTCAAATTATTTTCCTACATTTAAGAAGTAGATTACCTGGAAGTACTTACGTTGATCTCTTTCTGACTTTAACTTCTTTTTTCCCGAATAAATATATTGAATATATTTGATAAATTGCCCTAGAGTAGATGTTATGTTTTTGCAGTTCTAAACTTTTATCGTTGATTGGTATACTGATTAAATCAATCTTCATTCGTTTCTTATCTGTTTTATTTTCTATAGTTATAGGTACTGACTCAGAAAATCTTGATATAAATCAAAATATTTGCAAACCAAATGAGCTGACACAAGCGGAAAGATCCTCAACAAATGTAACAAGAAAACATTGATGTAACCATCAATTGTCGCCCGGGAAATATATGAAGTGAACAATGAAAATGAGTCTTGATCAACAAACCGCTTCGATATGTGTAAAAAGGCATGCGTCTAATTGATGGAGACGATAGCGCATATATATTTAAAAACTTGTAGTCGGATACAAATCAATCAAAAACGATACCATTTTAAACTTGATCAATTCCTCAAGTAAATGTTGGCTGCATAAAATATAAATTGAATTAAACCACACGCATCATTTATATTTAAAAATGTATTTATCTTTTTTAGAATATAAAACACGAACTGTGCAGAGTGTACGTTTTTATCCGAGAAGTAAAATTCGATGTTCTAAAAAGAGGACCTGTCGTTGTTTCGATAACAAATGATAAGTAATTTTATGTATTAAATATGAAAAACATGCATATTTTTACAGATTTACTTTATGGAAGTAAATATATTATGTATCTCGTAATTTATAAACGGAAAGAACATTCTGATTAACAATCTTTTCAATGCTTAGAAAACATTTAATTCTACATAACTACTCCCATCCCAATCCCCATACACCAACACTTAAACTTATATGTAAAGAGCGGCCCGGTCCTCCGGACTGCAATTAATGCCAGTCTGACCCAGTCTGAAAGTAGCTGTGATGTGTCAACTGTCCTGACATGTACAAGTCTTTCAGAAAATGAACATTTAAAGTTAATTGAGTCCTGTTTTCCTGACATTGAAAAAAATGATATTTCTCAAAAGATTCATAACTTCATGCTTTGCCGCAGGAGTGACTGTTGCTCTCTAAAATCAAAGGAAAAATTTGATCATGCTTGGCTGAACTCAAGAGAATTGTCTTTCTGTAAGGTTACAAGATTATGGCATTTCGTTTTCGTTGAGGAACAAGGAGTCTATTGTCTACTTTGTAGAAAACATAATATTAAAAATCCGAGTAACAGATCAGCTGTATTTGCAGATGAACCAAGTAAAAGATTTAGGAAGTTAGCTTTGCAGGAACACCTGAAAACAAAATGTCATGAAGCAGCAAAATATAGTGAATCTCTATCTCAAGTTTCAGTTTTTCAAAAAGAAATTGATAGAAAATTAGAAGTCAAAAATGAAGTTTTATTCCAAGCTTTCTATTCTCATTTGTTTGTTGCAGATCAGATGATTGCTAACTTTAAGATTAATTAACAAACTAATGAAATTCATGGAACATATTGGATTGAAAGATTTGAAATATTTCAGTCACAGATCAGCAGGGTCGCAAAGAGAAGTTTTACTAACTTTATCAGATACTTTGAGAAATGATTTAATAAAAAAAATTGCAATCTTCAAACTGCTATGGTTTAATGATTGATGATCTGTCTGATGTGTCGTCACTTCAACAGATGATTGTGTACATTCAATACTTTGACCAAGAGCGTGGGAGTGTTCAAACAGATTTCCTTTTCATTGCAAAGGATGTATTCGCCTTATCAAAAGAATTGACCTATAGGAGAGAACAATTTCCCGGAAAAAGTGACATCTAAAAATCAATCTTTATTTGCTGTTTTCTATCGTATATATGTCTAAATTTTTCAAATTTGTATTTTATACCTAAAATTTATTAATTACAACTTTACAATAAACCTCCAAAGTTGACCGAAACACCATTTTGTCGGTTAAAGCGTTGAATTTTGCATGAATTTTGGCCTTGAAGTCCTTCAGGGCAGGCCTGCCCCTAAAGAAAATTGTGGTATTTTGATAGATTAGGATGTAAGGAATAATTTAAGATACGATTTTTTTAGGGGCACCCCTGCCCTGTGATCGAAATTCACAAAAAACCTACAAAAAATAAGGAAACCTGATTTTCATAATCTGCTTTAAATTTATTCAGATCAATCTTATAGTCAGACTAGCTCAGTTGATATAAGCGCTGACTTTTACACCTTGGATACTTTCTTTTTTAAAGTCGGGGGTTCGAATCCACCTGGTACAACACTTTTAAAGTTTTAAATTTCGTTTTCTCATAGACTATTTTAATTTTTTTATAGACCTGTGTATTTTTCCTTCAATTATCTATCCTTTATGCATGCCCATTCTTGATATAAGACTAAAGAGATATCAAATCGTAACAATCCAATGTACAGTTGTCAGTCAGGCGGAACGAACCTCAGCACTCTTTCTCCGAGGACAAGAATAACTCACTATGTGTTACTCAGTACAGGTATTCTTTGCAGCATTGAGCTGCGACGAATTTCAATTGTATATATTTCTTAGAATTTAATCACATTGATTTTAGCTACGTATTTCAGTAAATACACTCCCTGGGATTTCATTTAGGCCTATATAATTTGCACACATTATTGACATGTTTTATTATATCCACGGATAAATAGCCTAGACATTAAGAATAGAATTTCAGAGACAGTAGACATTACCTTTATGCACAAAAGAAGTAAAGACAAATATTATTTATTACATTTGGATATAACAAACTCAGAAAATTAATGAAAGGGTTCCTCCTACCTCTACTCACTGACATAAAGATTTAGGTAAAACAAATTGTTATATGTATTCAGCCTAATGTCATTTACTGGAACGGAAATCGACAAGCTTTTTGTAGAGAAAAAAACCAAGCCCGGTCCTATAGGTCAGAACCCTATTTATAACGAAGTGATCCTTTACTGGAAAAGTAACACTCGGCAAACTCTGAAACTCTTTTCAAGGTGCTTTGTGAAAATTGTGAAGCCATGAATCTAGATATGATGAAGATAACTGGTTTGTGTACAGATGGTGCAAGTGTGATGATTGGTAAAAAAGATGGCTTAAGTGCTAAACTGAAACATATGAACAAATATCTGATTGCAACTCATTGTGTATGCCATCGGTTGGCATTAGCATGTACAGACACCAATTCTAATCTCAAGTGTGTAGGGAATGTTGAGACGTATATGCTACAGCTTTGGAAATTATTTCATTATTCCCCAAAGAAGATGGCCTGTTTTCTGAAACACCTTGAGGGTTACAGAAGCCTTGTACTTGACTCATCAGAAAAAAAGAAGTGTGTAAAAATTCTGAAACGGGCATGTAAAACCAGATGGTTGAGTTTTAAGGCATCAGTTGCTGCTGCAATGGACGATCTGATTCCTTTAGTTCAAACTCTGAGTGAACTTTCTGAAAGTGATGCTGCTGCTTACGGATTACTAAAGAAAATGCATTCTGCCCATTTTGTAGGTGTGCTCTTCATTCTTCATGCAATTTTACCAATTCTGGGGAAAATAAGTAGGATTTTTCAGAAGAGTTATCTGAATTTTAGTACAATTCAGCCTACTTTAGACAGTGCAGTTCAAGAACTGAAACAGATAAGAAGTGAAAGAAGTCCAATTGAGTTGGCTAAATCTGAATTGAGTGAAGGTGGAAGGCTTGAACTACTAGATATCACAATAAACCAGAATACTGAACACCAGCTTGGACAGACACTTAGCAACTATATTTCTGCATTAGTGGAAAATATTGAAAGACGCTTTCCTGATGTTCCAATTTTAGTTGCTCTCAATATTTTCAATCCCTGCCACATTCCTGATAAGGACAGTGAAAGCTTCAGTTCATATGGTGACGATGCTGTCGAAATTATTCACCAGCAGTTTCTCTCAGAAGGTTGCACCCAGTCCCTTGCTGAAGTAAAAGCAGAATGGCACCTGATGAAATATCATATTGCAGAAAAAAAAAATGTCAAATACCTGCATCAGATGATTTTACTCCTTTGGAATGGTGTTTGAGTGAAATTATGAAGCATAAAAACGAATATAATTACATGTGCCCCTACCTTACAAAAGTTGTAGAATTGGTACTTGCAATGCCACTTTCTAATGCATGGCCAGATAGAGGTGCCTCAAAAGTAAAAATCATTAAAACTGATCTCAGAAACAGACTAAAAAATGATATGTTAAATGGATTACTACATGTTGCTGTCAATGGTCCAGAGTTGTGCACAGAGAAGTGTGATGGTTTAGTTTCTGATGCAGTTGACATGTGGATCTCTTCCAAGAAAAGGAGGAAGATTCCTTCCAGTAGGACTTCAGGTAAATTTTTTTCCAGTAGAATTGGTAAAAAAAAGATAATGATAATTTTGATATCTAAATTCATTTAATTTGAGACCTTTCTTAGATTTCAAATTAAATTTAATAGGTACAGGAGAAGATAGCAGGAAAACATATATGGAGGCAGAAGTCCAGACTGAGTCCGAACCAGTATTACATGTATCACATGGCACAGATGTTGATGAAGAAGAAGAAGCTGATGATGTTGGATCAACCTGTGACGATGAACATGAAAAAGACAAACTTTTTGAAAATACTCTTCTACAATTAAAAATAGCAAAATAATCTCAGGGAAGCAGAGGAGTATAGAAAAAAAATTCAGTGTTGATAGTGAATCTGATTGGAATTCAGATGATGACTTTTAATTCTAAAATTCCTTAATTTGTGTAATGCATGCACAGGAAATTAAAAAATATAATTTTGATGGTTGTTTTCATTAAAGGCTGATTTTAAAATACACAGGCATGTGAAAGGGAGTAAATAATATTCCTTACAAAAATTAAGCACAGACTGCACATTTAATATTTTTTATTAGCTCTAAATTGGTAATGAGGAAAAAAAAATAATTTGAATCTTTTCAAATTGGTGAATAGAGAATCTTCAAAATGGCACCATTTAAGATCAAGTTAAGCAGTTTTTAGTGGTAAACATTTGATAAAAATTGCACTTTTTGATGGCCTTAGAGGCAGGAAAAGTAGCTTCAAAAATGATTAATTTCGTTTTCGGAGGGGGGGTTCGCCCCCCTGGGCCCCCCACCAGGGCTCTGCCCTGGACCCGCTGGGGGCCTAAGGCGGCCCCCAGACCCCTCGCCGATAATGGGTTTCCTGCTGTTCTTAAATTATTTCCTGCTATTCCAAAACCTAATGAAATCACTGCTGACTTATATATCGTCTATAAAACAGGTATACAGTAGAAATTCAAGCCAGTCTTACTTGATATAGATGGTTTAGGTATAATTAAAGAATTCTAGAAGGAAAAATTGTCAAAAATAATTATTTTGAAATAGTTATGAGCATCAGTGCTGAGTGTCGCTCTTCAAAATGGCAGTTTCCTATTTTCTCACACCTGTCTTGTATATCCTCTGTAAAACAGGTATACAGTAAAATTTTAAGCCGGTTTCAGTTGATATAGATGATTTAGGTATGATTTAATAATTCTAGAGGAAAAAATCGTAGAAAATAATTATTTTGAATTAGTTACGACCATCAGAAATGGCAGTTTCTTACTTTCTCACACCTGACTTATATATCGTCTATAAAACAGGTATACAGTAAAAATTCAAGCCAGTCTTACTTGATATAGATGGTTTAGGTATAATTAAAGAATTCTAGAAGGAAAAATTGTCAAAAATAATTATTTTGAAATAGTTATGAGCATCAGTGCTGAGTGTCGCTCTCCAAAATGACAGTTTCCTATTTTCTCACACATGTCTTGTATATCGTCTGTAAAACAGGTATACAGTAAAATTTCAAGCCGGTTTCAGTTGATTTAGATGATTTAGGTATGATTTAATACTTCTAAAGGAAAAATCGTAGAAAATAATTATTTTGAATTAGTTACGAGCATCAGGGAAAACTGTCGCTCTCTAAAATGGCAGTTTCCTATTTTCTCACACCTGACTTATATATCGTCTATAAAACAGGTATACAGTAAAATTTTAAGCCGGTTTCAGTTGATATAGATGATTTAGGTATGATTTAATAATTCTAGAGGAAAAAATCGTAGAAAATAATTATTTTGAATTACTTACGAGCATCAGGGAAAACTGTCGCTCCCTAAAATGGCAGTTTCCTATTTTCTCACACCTGTCTTGTATATCGTCTATAAAACAGGTAAACAGCAAAAATTCAAGCCAGTCTTACTTGATATATATATATATATATGGTTTAGGTATAATTTAAGAATTCTAGAAGAAAAAAAATGTCGAAAATAATTATTTTGAAATAGTTATGAGCATCAATGCTGAGTGTCGCTCTTCAAAATGGCAGTTTCCTATTTTCTCACACCTGTCTTGTATATCCTCTGTAAAACAGGTATACAGTCAAATTCCAAGCCGGTTTCAGTTGATATAGATTATTTAGGAATAATTGAATATTCTAGATGAAAAAAAATGTCGAAAATAATTATTTTGAAATAGTTATGAGCATCAATTTTGAGTGTCGCTCTTCAAAATGGCAGTTTCCTATTTTCTCACACCTTACTTATATATCGTCTGTAAAACAGGTATACAGTAAAATTTCAAGGCAGTCTTACTTGATATAGATGGTTTAGGTATAAGTCAATAATTCTAGAGGAAAAAATCGTCGGAAATAATTATTCTGAATTAGTTATGAGCATCAGGGATAAGTGTCGCTCTTCAAAATGGCAGTTTCATATTTAGGGGAATTTCAGACTTTGCACACCGGCGTTATAATACACAAAATAATTCAGTTGATCATCTTGATAAATTACATTTCCCAAGCTTTCTTGGAAGGAAAGATATATTCCTTATCAACAGATTTGAGGCCCAGTTCAGTAAATCTGCACAATTTTTAAGCAAATCTGCAAATTAGGGAACTTGTAATTTTTCTGCACTACTTTCTTCTCCTACCGATTCTAAAAATAATAAGTGGGATATAGTACACAACATACTGGTATTCCTAGGCATGTGAATTATTGATACTTGTATTATATAATTTAATGTTATATCATTTCAAACCCGGTATTCTTCCCGTTTCATTTATTGAGTTGCATTCCTGATATATATCTTACTATATTGATATCGATTATTTTTATTGAATATGGTATAAATTTAATACCTTGTAAAATGAACGATGTATAGTCTGCAGCGTGTTGTAGGATTTTTATTCTCTAAGCACGGGTTCTTTAGTAAAGCGTATTAATTCTGGCGAATTGTGAATCTTTTTCGACATTGTTTCCACTATAAATAAATAAATGGATCAGTGTTGAGACTGGACACCCTTGTGTCATTTTGCATTTCTGCCCATCTGTTACACTTTCTTTCGAGCTTGTGCTGACATTTTACATAGCAATTCCCTATACATGTACGGCCTGAAGATTTTTTTTAGATAGATATAATGCATTCCAGTAAAATGCATTATTTTTATTTTGAATCTGTGTTCCTCTAAAAATTGACGCTTTCTAAATATGCTGCATCTGAATCTTGCACACTAGTAGCATAAGAAGAAAAATGGGCGACCGGTAAAGCAGGTGTACCCCAGTCTTCAATTGCAAGAGGTTTTAATCTTACTCACAGCACCATATGTTACGCACAGCAACTATAAAATATAAAAATGCAACACCAAATTAAATGTTCGCAAAAATACGAGATACCACATGTAATATCAGCAGCAAAGAATCACTTCAGACATTTACTAGTACGTAAAAGTGAATGTAAACAGTGACGTCATCTACAGCATGAATTATCCCTAAACTGCAAAGACCATCTAACAATACCCTTTTCAACTGACTAAGACTTATTGCAAAAGGATGATCCATGCCAGTGTTCTGGTCCCACAGCACCCCATGCAAATATCTACTTCAAAGATCTCAGATCACAGCATCACCATTGAACATTTTGGTGTAGCTAGTCCCAGAATGTTTATCAGAGAGCCTGTTATTGAAGTGCTAGGGTTTCGTAAATGAACATTAGACAGAAAACTGCCTCCAGGACGTAAAAGAAATTGGTGGTGGTAGTTTAGTGGAATGAAAAACGGTATTACACAAGAGTAAGACTGATTTGGTTCGTATTTAAAGGTCTTTGATGGTAAAAGGTACTCTAACTATGTTCTACCTGAACACGCCTATTCAATTTTGCAATGACAACCTCATTCTTGCAAAACAACAGAAACCTGATTCTGCAATTGTCACATCGAGATTTAAACCTAACTAAGCAGCATTAGACAAAACGGATTGACATGATCCATTTGCCAAAGACAATCACATCCCTAGACGCTGCAACAGCTGACTAAAGCTCTACATTTGGAGAGGGAGAGTATTCCTATAGAGTTTTTATAACACACATTACCCTTTGACTGTAGATTTCAACTTGCCTGTGAACTACCCCCTAACTGCAGACTCCACTTTGACTATAAAGAACCCCCCTGACTGTAGACTCCACCTTGACTATGAACTATCCCTTGACTGTGAACCACCCCCTGATCGTGAACTTCCCCCTGACTGTAGACTCCAACTTGACTATAAACAACTCCAACCTGTAGACTCCACCTTAATTGTGAACTATCCCTTGACTACCCACTGACTGTAGTTTCCACATTGACTATGAACCACCCCTTGACTGTAGACTCCATCTTAATTATGAAGTATCCTCAAACTGTAGACTCCAATTTGACTGTGAACTACCCACTGACTGTAGACTCCATCTTGACTGTGAACTACCCCTGACTGTAGACCCTACCTAAGCTGTGGACTACCCCCTGACTGCACACCCCACCTTGACTATGAACAACCGTCTGACTGAAGACTCTACCTTCACTATAAACAACCCCCTGACTGTACACTCCAATTGACTATGATCAACCCCAAACTGTAGACTCCACCTTGATTGTGAACTACCCCTTGACTGTGAACTACCCACTGATTGTAGACTCTACCTTGACTATCAACTAACCCTTTACTGTAGACTCCACCTTAACTATGAAGAGCAGTAAAACTCGATTAGTACGAACACGGATATTGCTTAGTTATCTTGGATCCCCAGCTATAAATTTAACGAATTCCTTATACAGATATACAGATATAACGAATTATGGATATAATGAAGTTATTTCATAGTTCCCAGTGTCTTCGCTATAACCGAGTTTAACTGTATCCCCAAACTGTAGACTCCAATTTGACTGTGAAATACCCCCTGAATACACACTCCACCTTGACTATGAACTACCCCTGACTGTAGTCTCCACCTTCACTATGAACAACTCCATGACTGCAGACTCCACCTTGACTGTGAACTAACACCTGACTGTAGACTCCACCTTGACTGTGAACTAACACCTGACTGTAGACTCTACCTTGACTGTGAACTAACACCTGACTGCAGACCCCACCTTGACTGTGAACTAACACCTGACTGTAGACTCCACCTTGACTATGAACAATCCCCTGACTGTAGACTCCATCTTGACTGTGAAGTTTTTATCATATACATTGCCCTCTGACTGTAGATTTGAACTTGACTGTGAACTACCCACTGACTGTACACTCCACCTTGACTATGAACTACCCCTGACTGTACACTCCAAACTGTAGACTTCCTTAATTGTGAA